GTAGAGCTGACTTTTCCATTGGATTTCACATAGCCCTGCTTTCCCAAAGGCCTTATAAACACCCCAAGTGGGAGTAAAACCATGACAGCGCAGCGTGCAAGCTCAACGCGTCAACCCCTACGCCGCATTGTCATGTGTGCTGCTGGATCAGAGGGCAGATACGAACATAAACAAAATATAGTGAATACATCGCATATAACTAATTTACTGGTAGTCTCTAAACTCTGTTTATAAACGAAAAATAAGTAATGTAGTCGGTTGTTATAGCAAATATAATATTGCTTCATCGACAATCCAACCAAATGTGATAAGACATAATGCCTGGCCTTGCTGGAAATTCACATCAGCCCTGTCAGCCAGGAGCACTCATGGCAATGTGGCGTGGTGGTTAACGTGGTGAGATTATAAGCGACACTGTCACGGTTCGAGTCCCGCTGCGAGTGCTGGTGAGACCTAAGCCAGGTCGAAACTTCAGTCCAGTTGAGGCTGGATGAGAACACTTTTATGGCAAGCAAGGCTATGTGAAATTCAATGGAAAAATCAGCTCTATTCATACGATTACGGGAAAACTCGACTGCCAGCACTCCACACCTTACACCAAATAGAGTGAGGCGTTATTGGCCCTACCCTGCGTCTGGGTGACTAATTCGAGCCCATCCTTTGACCAAACGGGTGCTAAACTTTTGTGGTATCTCCCCTTCTGCCATGGGCTATTCACATTTCCTAAATCATCCCAGCACACCTTCCCTGTCACAATTTTTACCGTGCTTATTTTGATGTAGTGTGATTTGCTCCTTCGAGCGGCATTCATGAAAACCCTTCACACTCCACACCGTCGCTATCACCCCCTTCACCCTTGTGCTGGGAATGTGGACCAGAAACTGTCATATTGTTACGTAGTCCATTCCTGGGTCCTATCAAAGTCTCCCTCTTGCCTCGTCGAATCCGTCTGCTATCTCCCTGGTACATTTATTTCACTCGACCCCTGCCCCCTCATCTGTGCTATTCGAGACGTAATTCGTCCATCACTTGCACATGGGCGATTAATTAAAGGCTAAAGCCTCAGCGTAAGTGTCATGGTCACGCCTTTGCTAAATGGACCACATCTCTTGAAAAACCTACTGTCAGCCAACTAGCGCCAATCGCCGCCTCGTCTATCCTCTCTCTATTCCT